AAACTGTCCCATTACGGTGAAGCTATTTCAGTGTCCAACTCCAGTGTTTTGTCCTTTAACTTCTGTTCTTGTTGTTGAGTTGCACTGCACAGTGACATGTTTCTGCCTCTGCCCAGGTATTATGAAAATCTCTAAACAGCCTTTGAAACACAGAAAGTAAGAAAATGAAATTTTGCAGCATTGACATCAACATCGTTGCTTGAATTTGAATAATCCAACTCCACCTGATTTAGTTAATGTCAATCTTTAACACTGCTCCAAAGACTCAGAATCTGCAGCAGGTGTGCCAACGTCAGGTCACAAGTAAGAAATATACTGGTGATCTGCATGCACCAATCAGATCTGTGACTTTGCATTGTATTCACTATATCCAGAACAGCGTGAGGTCAGTACTGTGCAATATTCTCTACAGACAGGTTCGACAGCATTGTTTTATCCATTTCACAAGCTCATTTACTAAAGATACAAAAAACTGGTAGCATGTATCAAAGCTTATGAAAATTAGGAAATCAAGTACAACCCTGAAAGATTAAGAGTCAAATTGATTGTGTGTGTTGCCAGCGCGACGGCCAATCCTTCTCTATCCAGCTCTGCAGCAGTCGCAGCACATCAATGCGCTGATAGATGCGGCAAAGTTCAGTGAGCTCAGTGACCGTTTTCTGGTTGTAGCGTAACAGGAACTCCTGGGTGGGGCTGTGGGACAAGGAACCCTGGGTCCGATGCTCCAGCAGGGTCAGTTCGTCATAGCTCATCCCCCAACGACTCGCAAAGTTTTTCCAGTTTTTGATGGTGCAGTGGTTTGGATCCAATTTGAGCCGCAGCAAGTCCAGCAGATCTTTGTCGTTCATGAGGTCGCTGATTTTGGGAGGGGGTGCCGGGCAGAAGCACTTCTCGCAGGGGTTCGTTAAAAACTGTAGTTCTTTGGGATAGTCTGAACTCAGAGATGGACAAGGAAAGATTGAGTTAGCTCAAGCACATTACCAAATAACATTTGCTATCTGCTAACGACAATTTGCTAACAACTATTTAGCTTGTCAGTGTTTTCTGTTACGATGAAAAACAAACGCACATTTAACATGGAAAAGATTTCAACACATCCAAGAAATCCCTTTGAGGCAAAAAGCTTATCAAACTGCTTTAGTCTGGGTGGCTGTAGCTCAGGAGGTAGAGCAGGTCACCTTCTCATTGGAAGGTTGGTCTGCTCCAGTCTGCACGCCAGATATCCAAGATACCAACCCCACTGTTAGAAAGCTTTTAAGCATGGAACAAAGTGCTTGTATGAATGGGTGAATGAAGCATGTTATGTAGAGTAAAAAAAACAAACCCGCTATGTTCAACAGTTTAGTCAACAGCTCTGCTCAAAGCACGAGAAGCCTTTGTTGTTTACAGCCCATCAGAATAAAAGTGTCACAAAAGGAGAGCAAAGCGTGTTGCAAAGGGGCTCTGGACTATTCCAGTTTTCATTGGTGAAAGGCAGGAGTGCAACCTGCCTAGAGAGACAACCATTCACACTTAAATGTCTTTGGACTATGGGAGGAAGCTGGAATAACCAGAGAGCGCCCACTGGTGTACGCGAGTCCACAATGAAAGGACTCAAATCCAGAACCTTCCTGCTGTGAGTGAACGGGGCTAAACACTGCACCGCTGTGTCATCCCAAGCTTTCTGAACTCAATGATGCAAAGCTCAAGCAGAGTGAAAGAAATGAGCATGAAGCTGAAAGCAGCAGAACAGGTCCTCTTTAATAATTTAGTCACGTATTCTTCTAGTTGTGTTGAGTACAACACAGTGCCCATCGTGAAGATTGTGGTGTGTTCAAACTCCTCTCCCAAAGTGTAACCATCATATGATTATTACTGTCAAATTTAAATCAAAGAGTAAAACTGCTGTTAGTCTGATAAGCGGTGTTTCAGTTCCTTCTGATATTTTCATTTAAAGGGTTCAGCACGAGTAACTGACCTACCTGGTGAAGAAGAAGTGGGGCAAGTGCATTCTTCCACATCTTCCACTGGCTGCACACAGAGAAGCAAAGAATGAATGGTAGGCACATGCTACTGTGGACTGGTCATTTCCCCCCGGACTACAAACATTGCTGAGGGTATGTGAAAATGAGCGCTGCAAAGAACAACTTTACATTCACTACTCTGCTAAATCCAAATATGTCTGTGCATGATGGGATTTGCTGGGTGTCTCAGCAGGGCAGCCCGTACACCCAGTACTTCCATTCTGTGTCATTTTGCAGGTGCTGGTGTGTAATATTTGTAAAGGAATATACACCTTTTTAGCAAATACTACCATTAACTCAAGGTGGAGACGTTGTTTTTGAGTGTTGTTTGGAGTGGTCGGTCGCAACCAAATATCATCAATGACCTTTTCATGAGTCGTGGAAAACATACGCAGCCAAGTAGTGAGGATATATTTTACGGAGGACAGTTATTAAAGCAACCCTTTATACTTAAAAATTATAAAGCTTATTCAAGCTGCTGTACTTTGCTGCAGAGCCGCTGCAGTAAAAGACAAAACATTTGCTACACACGGGCATGAGGCAGAGTTTTTACATTTCTCCTGCTGATGCCTCACATCCACTTTTGTGTTGGCCTCAGTGCTACTGCATCCTGAACTGCAGGAAGTCTATACATGTGCTGTCAAAGCCATGAAAATGAGAAAGCAGTATATGCCCATACTTGCAAACTCTAATTACTGCATTAGTGGAGTGAGTAAGAAAGACAGAATTACAGCTTAATAGATTTCATTTGATCTTTTTGGTGTTAAAAATACTGCAGTGCATGTACCAAACACAAGTTCTGATGGCCGTGATGTGCAGTTTGGTAAAGTGCCCCGTGTGCAGCGACGTTGTAGATTGCAGCACTATAGCTAGCAACTCTAACTCTATGTACATATTTAGCAGGTATATTCCTCAACTGGATTGTAGATACTAGCATGCTGTGGATGAAGACAATATGGACCATTAAGCCTCACCATGTCCCGGTGTCATAAGAGAAAGGATTATGACCATTCCTGGGACTGAGGCAACCATGGAAACAATTTAAATCGTTAACAATGTGAAACGTTTACACTCCCTACAATCGTCATGGCTGTAACGCTTCACAACGCTTGTACACTGAGAAAAAGCTAATCAGCCGTTTGTTTTGATGCTGTGGTAAATTTACTGCCTTCAGTAGTCGCTGCAGTTCGGTTAGAGCAGGTTCAGGTTTCACTCGGCTGCAAATGTAGATCAGAGGTTTAGATGTGATGCTTTTTCCTGGCTGGTGCTAATAAAACATGTCTCAACAGAAGCCATGTTGCACAGTACATCAAGGTCGAGCAGAGAGTTGAGACGCTGTGCTGGAGGGGTGTGAATATTTCACCAGTGGAGAGACTGGAATAGACTGGAATGGGTCAAATCTTCTGTCCCCTTTAAGCTCGCTACCGACAGCAGCAGCACTGTTTCAGAGAGCGCCCTGAAACGGAGTCATGTGAGCGCTCTTCCTACTGTGCTCGATCTCTGTTATTAGCAAAGTTCACAGCTGCACCTTCAGTGAGACCAAACCACATCCTGTATAATCACAGCTTAAAATAAAAGGTTTTCACAGACTATGCTCTGTGTCTTTAGATCTGGTGAATAATGTTTGGTTGTTGGCGGTCGTATTTTCAGAGGATCCCCACCCATTGGTGCTAACCAGTGCATTGCCACGCTGCCACTGTGTTCTCTTCAAGCACAACAGGGAACAAAGGGAGAGATCCAGGTTTGTAGGCTGGAAGGACACCACAGCTGACGGTGTGTCCTCCCTGTTCTAATCTGTTTTTGTGCTGATATGTGGCCATAGGAAACGTTTTGTTATTAACTGCACGGGCCACACAGTTGTGCCAAATCAGGATAACCAATCACTTTCTGTAAGAAGCAAAGCATCAGTTTTTAATAAAGAGTGTCTAACAGTACAGTGCACGTCATGCTTTACTCTGTTCCTATGGACTTGTTACCTGTGAAAGGCATGTAGGGAATAAAACAGCTGTGGTTTTCATACAGGGAGTGCAGAATTATTAGGCAAATGAGTATTTTGTCCACATCATCCTCTTCATGCATGTTGTCTTACTCCAAGCTGTATAGGCTCGAAAGCCTACTACCAATTAAGCATATTAGGTGATGTGCATCTCTGTAATGAGAAGGGGTGTGGTCTAATGACATCAACACCCTATATCAGGTGTGCAGTAATTATTAGGCAACGTCCTTTCCTTTGGCAAAATGGGTCAAAAGAAGGACTTGACAGGCTCAGAAAAGTCAAAAATAGTGAGATATCTTGCAGAGGGATGCAGCAGTCTCAAAATTGCAAAGCTTCTGAAGCGTGATCATCGAACAATCAAGCGTTTCATTCAAAATAGTCAACAGGGTCGCAAGAAGCGTGTGGAAAAACCAAGGCGCAAATAACTGCCCATGAACTGAGAAAAGTCAAGCGTGCAGCTGCCAAGATGCCACTTGCCACCAGTTTGGCCATATTTCAGAGCTGCAACATCACTGGAGTGCCCAAAAGCACAAGGTGTGCAATACTCAGAGACATGGCCAAGGTAAGAAAGGCTGAAAGACGACCACCACTGAACAAGACACACAAGCTGAAACGTCAAGACTGGGCCAAGAAATATCTCAAGACTGGTTTTTCTAAGGTTTTATGGACTGATGAAATGAGAGTGAGTCTTGATGGGCCAGATGGATGGGCCCGTGGCT